CCAAACTCCTAATTTAACAGGGGCCTTGGCCTAGTGGCTTCTGGCAGAACTGGAGGCAGAGGCACAACGCTAGATGATCAGACACCATAGAAATGGTCAAACGGATAGCTGCTGAATCATCGCATGCGTCCATGCACACTACCTGCTCCCTAGAGATGTGATGAGCCAATCCATCTGTTGACAAGTTGTTTCCTGATGAACTATTCAAAAATAGAACAAGACAGAAATCGTCTGTGGGAATATCATCCTCGTTTAACTGGTTATGATAAAAATAGAGCTCAAGGCATTGTTTGATATTGTTGGGACATTTGAGAAAATTTTAATAAGGACTGACTAATAGATAGCATTATGAAATAATTAATTTTCATGATTGCGATAATGATGATATGGTACCAGGGAAAGGTCCTCCTTCTTAAAAGATTCATGCTAAAGTCCCTGTGGGTGAAGTGTAGTGTTTTCAAATGGTTCAATTAAAATGATTCAGCAAAATCTTTATATATATTTATATATATAATATTATATAATGTTATATATAATATGTTATATATAATTTTAAAGTATACATAATAATATTTAATATATATCCTATATGGCAAATTTATACATAAATATATTTATATTTATGTATATACATGTATATGTAAATACATTATACATATGATTAGAGATAAAGGAAATGTGGGAAATCATTAACAAGTGTTAATTCTGCTCAACTGAAAATATTAACTGTTGAATCTAGGTGGGGATATATGATGGTCATGGTACCGTTCTTTCAACTCTTCTTTAGGTTTAAATTTTTCAAAATAAAAAGGTGTGGATTCCTAGAGTCCTCTCCACAATGTTTAAGAATTTTAAGCTGTTTCTGAAGTAGTCATTTTCAGAAGCACTATCATTTATATCCATTTTTCCCTGGCTTACTATGAACCCAGGCAGCAGGGTGCCCAAGAAAGGAAGACAATCTTCTCTTCTCAAAGAAACTGTAAACAGAAAATCAGCCTCAAGTGATAAATCAAGAAAAGGGAGGGCAGAGCGCAGTCTGAGTTGGCGCTGCAGGTGTCAGCCCAGCGTCACTGTGCTCGCAGGGCTGAGGTCGTCTTAGGTGAGGTGGTCGCCCCGGAAGTAGCTGAGGCTGTGGCCACTGAGTGTTCCAAGGACCTGCGGCAGAGTCGTTAAGGGCTTGCGACATCACCCCGCTCCCTTCACCTTCTCTGCCGCAGCCATAACAAAAGGCAGAGTTGCCGAAAGATAGCAGACGTGGGCACTCCATGCGACCCCTCCATAAGGAGGATAGGGTAGGGGGGACGCGGAGTCCCACAACGCCAGGCAGGGGAGACCACCTGAAGCTGTGGGTGCAGAAACTGGGTCAGCAAGAATGTCGCTTCTTACATTGGTGTCCATTTTTTTATCTGCAGCTTTTGTTATGCTTTTGGTATATCAAAATTTTCCTCACCTTAGTGCAGAAGAGTGAATATGAACATTCCCAGAGATATGGATGATGCCAAGGCTCTAAGGTTTTATCCAAATATAAGCACATCTTTTATGTACAAGTATTTGTAGTTCATTTTGCTATGTATATTTGTAGTTCATTTTGCTATGTATATTTTCTTGCAAACATTTGCTATTCCGGGCTCTATATTTCTCAGTATACTCTTAGGGTTTCTTCAACCCTTTCCGCTAGCCTTATTTCTTGTTTGTTTGTGTTCTGGACTTGGTGCCTCATTCTGCTATATGCTCTGCTATTTAGTTGTAAACAAATACGTAACAGAGAAAGCAGTAAAATGGTCATAGCGGGTTGAACGTCATGGAGAACATGTCATTAACTACATTATATTTTTGAGAATAACACCATTTCTGCCTAATTGCTAATATTATGTCTCCTGTGATAAACGTGCCATTGAAATTTTTCTTATTGGCACTTTTCTAGGTGTCACACCTCCCTCTTTTGTAGCGATTAAGGGCGTGAACAACACTGTACCAGCTCACAATCACAGAGGAAGCTATTTCCTGCAACCCAGTATTTGTTCTAACAGTTTTGGCTCTTCTTTCTATTCTGCCAGCCATCTTCCAAAAAAAACTAAAGCAACAATTTGAGTGAAACATGATCTGGGTTTTAGTTTTCCTGTCATCAGCATCTCAAGAATGCCAAGTTTATGTGTTAAAATCACCTCTTCAGTAACTGAAACAAGGAATTTGCAAAATAAAATTTCTTGTCAGACGGTTAATATATTTAAGTGGCAAGGGAGAGAAGAAAGTAAAAACGGAAATTGATATACTATGAAAAATGCTGTCAGTAGTTATGATAGACATCTTTTGAATTACTATTCTGAGGGTAGCTATACATACTTAGTGGCAGTGTAGTAGGAAATTCTCAACCTGACTGATTCATTCAATTTAATATATTTCTTGAACTGGCTATACATACTTACTCTTGATTTGATAATTTAATATTCTTCTCTCTTATCCCTTACTAATAACTAAAATAGAAAGAGTAAATACAAGGGCAAAGATTCTAGATATTTAAAAACAGTATTGCAGTTCTGGCTAATGTTAGCCTTCTTTCAGAGCAGAACTTGAAAACTAATGCTCAAAAGAGATTTACATCTCTTTCCTCTTTTTACCTTTGAGGTAATGGATTTGTTGAGAAGTTGCATCTCAGTGGACTACAGAATTTGGAAAGGACATCAAGTTATATATATTTTGTGAATTTTATTTTTGTCTTTTCCTGTTCTAGATTATCATGGATTAGTCTGAAATTTAAAATTCTGACCAGTCTATTTTCATATTTTCTTCTAGCTTTCACAATATTTCCACTGTGCATATATAAAATGATAATTACATGATAATTGTATCATATTGATGTTGATAAGTTATATTCAGATAATATTTTGTTACGCAGTGTCCCTTCATCTCATAAGGGGGTCAAAAAAGCAAACATTCAAAGTATGCACTTTTTTGGTTGTTAGAGTAATTATATTGCTCTGTATTTTGAGACAGAAGCAGTGGCCGTGCAACAGTTAAATGGTCAAATATAGTTTATTTGTTCCAATGACTAAAATTTACCTCATTTGCTTATTAATATGGTCATTAAAGTATGTATTATGTAATTATCCTTTTTATGCATGATACACTTATAAGAATGCTTGTTTCATTTCTGTTGATGGCTTTTTGGTTTGGGACTGCTTTTGATTAATGCAATTTCCCAATTTAGTGTTTTTACTTTTTTATAACTCAAAGTAAAATTGACTTCTCACATTGTAACTACTATATTTAAATAGTCCTGGAAAAACTAAACAGCTTTTTACTTCTTGCTTAATGGTAATACCCTTGATTCCTTGATTCCAGGACATAGCTGATCTAAAGTAAAGCACTCTGTCAGTTTTACCTTCACCCAAGACTGTCAAGTTGAAAAGTACTGTAGCTGTGGGAGAAATCCTGTTATGAGAAGTGTGATCATCTTCAAAGTCTGTTTCTACTACATAGTGTGGACTCATTATTTTTTCTATCATAGTATTAACAAATGAATTTATTGGAAATACAAAGAAAATATATTAATTAATATACTATTATTATGTCAAAAAAAGGAGTCCTGTTCTTACCATATTAAGTGAGATAGGGAATTTACACAAAACTAATTGCATTAATAATCCAATTTTTGTTCTCACGATGGCAAATAAAGAAAACAAAGAAGCTGTATGAAAATGTTAACCATTATTATCTCTGTGTATTATCAGTGATTCTGTTAATGTTAATCTGTAGTAAATGCATATTCTATTTTCAGGGGAAAAATTGGGTAAAAAAATATTGACTCAGGCCAGTGGACTTTACTTTCAGCCAAGACAACCTCCTAGAAGCCTAATGTGCACAGCATTGGTCCAGACAACTAAGTCCACTTACATCCCCTGTCCACGTATTAGCCCTCTCAGGAACTCAAAGATGACTATAGGCATACAAGCTTGAGTCAAAACATATCTGATGAAACTGAAACACTACAGGATATCTACTTTCCTCCTCCTTCCAAGCCCCAACACCTCCTCCGCATAGGGTAAAGATGATCTGTGTTCCTTGAGTTTTTATCAATTCAAAGCTCACTCAAAAAACCCACGTAAAATTGTCTCATTTAAAAAAAGTGATAATCCCTAAAATGGTTCAAATAATTAGTTGAGACCAGTATTGTTAAAGACATGAGAAAATTTACCCAAAAAATTATCCTTTTTTATTTTTAACTCCTCCTCCAGTCCCTGGGTTTTCTCTTGAACTCAGTCCTCAATACTCCTCTTTCCCAGTCTGCAATTCCATAGGGTCATGACAGAAAAGTGCTGAATTTGCTTCCTTCTCCCTCTGCTTCTAAAAAGCATTTGAACCAAGGAAAAGAAGATCAAATAAAACTCTCCAAAACAAAGAATTATAGGAGGTAGATGCTTGGAAGGGAAAAATCTATTGACACGTAAGAAGGCAAGCCAGTACACTGTTCTCGTCAACCTTAGTCCCAACGATTCCATGATTCCTCCAGTCATGTTCTGGAATATCTTCCCTTACCTACTGCTCCTTCATATCTCTCTCACTTTCTTACCTCTCTCTCTCTCTCATACACACACACACACACACATACCACAGACCACAGACATTACCATACAGAGAAACAAATATCTAAGAGACTCTTGTGTTAATATTTAATATTTATATGCATTTCTCATTGTGTAGTTTATCTGAACCTTATATTCAAGAATTATCACATCCAAGTTACAGATGAGGATCTGAGTATGGGAAGTAGTAGCAGAGTATAGAGAATAGCAGATAAATCTGTGCAGTGAAACTCAGGAAACTCTCTTTAATGGAGGTTGGATATTCACTGGATATTGAGGTAATGGGGAGATGTGAATGGAGAGGTCAGAGAAGGCATTCCTTGGAAGAGAATGAAGTGGAAAGGAGGTGAACGATGCCCGCAGAGGAGAGGAAGTTGCAGATGACGGCACAGCTGCAGCCAGATGGTCCTCCCTTCATCACACAGGAATGAAACAGATCTTGTAAAAGGGTGGCACAGAAGCAAATCCATTGACAACTGGGGTGACGTCGATGTCTTTTGGGTCAACCAGAGACTTCAAGTTAAATTTCTGTAAAATGGTTGTCAGGAATAAAAACAGCTCCATGCGGGCCAGGCCCTCTCCCACACAAATCCGTTTTCCTGAAAATAACAAACACAGGAGACAAATGCTCTTTGAATCCTGTATGTGTGACCAGCGCAAAGAGAGAACACAGTAACTATTGATGAATGATTGGATAGATGGATGGATGGATGGATGGCTGAATGGAAGGAAGACTGGTTAGATAGACACAGAGTAACAAAAATTAGCAAATGTTTTATTCACTTAATGTCTTATCTTAATGAACACCCTTCATTTAACAGATATTTATTATCAGCTCTATACTAGCATTCAATAAGTATTCTTACATTTTAACTTCTCTTTTGACATTTCAAATTTCCATCTATCTTTTTCGAGGAACACACTCACGTTACTTGGCCAGTGGGTTGAAGGGAGAAGGACTGAAAGGAGGAGGCTCATATGTCTGTGTTTCCCCTTCTATCTCTGGCCAAAACACAGCCCAATATTTTTTTCCTCAGTGTACTTTCAAAAGACATGTATAAACATGTCACTTCCTAAATTTTAAAATTTTAAATTGCTCCCCACCTGTCCTATGGGATAAAGTCTGATGGCTTGCCCTGCCTGTTCACAATCTGTTCCCAGTCTGATATTCCACAATCTTTCCTTCCATTCTTCATACGCTGTACTCTCAGCTCTAAGCATACACACTCTTCATCAATCTCCAACACACCGTCAGTTTCACGCTTTATCTCATGCTGTTCCTTTTGGCTAAGATGTACTTCTCTTATACTTCCTTCAGGATCTAGGTCAAATGTTATTTCTCCTTTACACTCTTTGTGATCCCCTAAGGTAATAGATTGTCACCCTCTCTGAGTTTCTTCAGCATCATATTCATGCTTCCAATGAAGCATAGATCGCTTTAAATCATAATTATCTATTTTTATAGCCTGGTAAAATGTGAGTTCCATGAAGGGAGGGCTCACTCATTGCCTTCTTGATATTTACAGTGCCCGACCCAAAGCAGGCATCAAGAGTCGTAGAAGAAATGAGGTCTCCATGGCCAGACATTTCAGGAATGGAGACCCAATAACCCAGATATAGGATCATGATTGGAGGAAGAGCAGGGTGCTCTGGAATCACAGTATAGTATGCTACTACATTCCCAATATTTCCCTGACACTATAATTAGCTGGCAGGATTTTCTTCCTCCTTGATCTAGAGCAAATGTCCTACTCCAGTGGTCTATTACCTCCTTAAAAGTGTCCTTCCTGGGCCAGCCCAGTGGCACAACAGTTAAGTTTGCACATTCTGCTTCAGCGGCCCAGAGTTTGCTGGTTAGGATCCCAGGTGCAGACCTCTGCACCACTTGGCAAGCCATGCTGTGGTAGGCGTCCCACATATAAAGTAGAGGAAGATGAACATGGATGTTGGCTCAGGCCAGTCTTCCTCAGCAAAAAAAAAAGAGGAGGATTGGTGGCAGATGTTAGCTCAGGGCTAATCTTCCTCAAAAAAAAAAAAGTGTTTTTTTAAGTGAAATGAAATATATATATTTTTTTAAAGTCCTTCCTTCTCTAGTTTTCTTTCTCTCTGCCCCATGTAAGGCAGCTCAAATATCATTTCTCTTATTAAAATGTCATTAGTCCATTTTATGCCTCACCAAGAGATAGGAATAATCAGGAAGGAGGCAGTTTTCATCTCCTGTCCTGATCAGCCTGTTCTTCCCTCTATCACAGCACTAATTGTACTGGATTACCACGGTCTGTTTACTCTTCTCCTTCTCTAATTGGGATGTGAGCCTCTGGGCTGCCTATACTGTACCTCAAGATATTTGGTCCCCAGATCTCCTCAGAGAGAAGCTTCAGGTTTTGAGTTCCCTCTAGATTATGGGCCGCCATACTGGTGGTGGGGTTTTGGTGAGACTGTGTCTCAGCCTCTCCTACCCACTTTGATGTGGGTTTTTTCTCATTTGTTTGTTAGGTAGGAGTGGCCCAGCTAGTTTTGGGGATTTTTTTCAGAGGAAATTGGGCTGTGTGTAGCTATACATTCAGTGTGTCCATGGGAGGAGATGAGTTCAGGATCTTCCCACATTGTCATCTTGAGCCAAAACTCGGGAGGTTTCTGATTACTGAATCAATCTCATTCCTTATTATAAACCTATTCTGACTTTCTGTTTCTTCATTATTCAGTATTGGTAGGTTGTATGTGTCTAGAAATTAATCCGTTTCTTGTAGATTATCCACTTTGTTGCCAAAATTGTTCATAGAAGTCTCTTATGATCCCCTTTATTCTGTGGCAACAGTTTCATGGCTTCTCTTTAATTTGTGATTTTATTTGTTAGAGTCTTCTCCTTTTTACTCAGTCTAGCTAAAGAGATGTCAATTTTTTTTATTTTTTCAAAGTACCAACTCTTAGTTTCTTAACTTTTGTCTATTCTTTTTCCAGTCTCTATTTCATTTGTTTCTCCTCTAATCTTTATTATTTCCTTCCTTTCTCTAACTTTGGCTTTAGTTTGATATTTTTTCAAATTTACTGAGATGTAAATTTATGTTGTTTATGTGAGATCTTTCTCTTTTTTAATGTAGCTATTTCTTGGTATGAAATTTCCTCTTAGCACTGCCTTAACTGCATCCCATAATTTATAGTATGATGTTCTTCCATTTTAATTTTTCTTAAGGTATTTTCTAATTTCCTTGTGATTTCCTCTTTCACCCATTGATTGTTCAAAAGTGTGTTGTTTAATTTGTATGTATTTGTGAATTGCCAGTTTTCCTTCTGCTGCTGATTTCAAGTTTCATTCCACTGTGGTCAGAAATAATATTTGGTATGATTTCAATCTTCCTAAATTTGTTAAGATTCATTTTGTGATCTTACATGACATCTATGCTGGAAAAATTTTCATATGTGCCTTAGAAAATTGTACATTCTGCTACTGTTGGTAGAATGTTCTACATATGTCTGCCACATCCATTTGGTCTATAGTGTTGTTCAAGTTCACTATTTCTTTTTGGCTTTCTTTCTGGTTGATCTATTCATTATTAAAATGGGATACTGATGTCTCCTACTATTATGGCATTGCTACTATTGTATTATATTAGCATGTATTTCTCCCCTCAGTTCTGCCAATGTTTACTTTATATATTTAGGCACTCTGGTGCTGCGTACTTATGTATTTATAATTGTTATATCTTCGTGATGGCTTGATCCTTTTATCATTATATAATATCCTCTCTGTCTCTTGTGACCCTTTTTGACTTAAAATCTATTTTGTCTCATATAAGTATAGTGACTCTTGCTCTGTTTTGGCTACCATTTCCATGGAATACCTTTTTCCACCCATTTACTTTCATCCTATGTGTGTCCTTATCCAAAGTGAGTCTCTTGGAGACAGCACGTAGTTGGATCTTGACTTTTTAATCCATTCAGCAACTTTGTATCTTTGATTGGGGAGTTTAATCCATTTACATTTAAATTAATTATTGATAGGGAATGGTTTACTATTGTCATCTTGCTAATTGTTTCCCATTTGTCTTGCAGATCTTTGTCCCTGTTTTCTACTCTGTCTCACTTTGTATTTCATTCTTTTTGTATACTTTGATTCCTTTCTTTTTCTTTTGTGTAACACCTACAGGTTTTCTTTATGGTAACCATGTGGTTATCAGTCTATTTTAAGCCGATAACAACTTAACTTTAATCACATACAAATCCTACACTTTTAATCCCCTCATTTTATGTTATTCATGTCACAATTTACGTATATTTACATTGTATATCCAGTAATATATTTTTTATTTATTCTTATTTTAATTTTTTTTTTTGAGGAAGATGAGCCCTGAGCTAACATCCACCACCAATTCTCCTCTTTTTGCTGAGGAAGATTGGCCCTGAGCTAACATCTATGCTCATCTTCCTCTACTTTATATGTGGGATTCCTGCCACAGCATGGCTTGATAAACAGTGCACACGTCTATGCCCGGGATCAAAACTGGCGAACCCTGGGCCACCAAAGCAGAGTGCACAAACTTAACTGCTATGCCACCAGGCCAGCCCCTTATATTTTGTCTTTTAACTTTCATACTAGAAATAAAAGTCATTTTCCTACCACCATCACAGCAATATAGTATTCTGTATCTTGCTATATATTTACCTTTACCAAGAGGTTTTATACTTTCTAATACGACTGTGTTGATGCTTATGGGCCTTTTGTTTCAAGTTGAAGAACTCCTTTTAGCATTTCTTGTAAATCTGTTACAATTGGTGATGAATGTTCTCAGTTTTGTTTGTTTGGGAAAATTGTATCACTCCTTAAATTTTTTCTTTTGTTTTTTCAGAGAAAGATTCACCCTGAGCTAACATCTGTTGCCAATCTTCCTCTTCTTTCTCTCTCCCCAGAGCCCCAATGCATGGTTGTATATCCTAGATGTAAGTCCTTCTAGTTCTTCTATGTGAGCCACCACCACAGCATGGCAACTGACAGACAGGTGGTGTGATTCCATGACTGGGAAATGAACGCAGGCTGCTGAAGTGGTGAGAGCACTGAACTTTAACCAGTAGACCATCAGGGCTGGCTCTGTCGATCCTTCATTGCTGAAGGACAGTTCTTTGTTGGTGGGTTTTTTCTTCTGGAACTTTCACCCAACTCTCTTCTCTCCTGCAAGGTTTCTGCTTAAAAATCTGCTAATTGTCTTATAGGAGTTCCCTTGTATGTGACAAGTGGCTTTCTCTTTCTGCTTTCAAAATTCTCTCATTGTCACTGACTTTTAATAATTTGATTATAGTGTGTCTCATTGTGGATTTCTTTGACGTTTTTATTATTTGAGGTTCTTTACACTTCTTGGGTCTGCATGTCCACTTGTTTCCCCAGACTTGGGAAGTTTTCTGCCATTGTTACTTTGAATAAGCTTTCTAGTCTTTCTCTTTTTCTCTTTTCCTTCTAGGACTCCTATAATGTATTTATTGGTCCACTTGATGGTGTCCCATAAGTCCTTTAGGTTTCTCTTCTTTTTCCTTCTTTTTTTCTTTTGGCTCCTCTGATTGAATAGTTACCAGTGACCTATCTTTGAGTTCACTGATCCTTTCTTCTGCTTGATCTAGCCTGCTATTGAACCCAATAATGACTTTTTCAGTTCTGTTACTGTATTCTTCAGCTCTGTGATTACTGTATGGTATTTTTATATGGTCTTTTTGTTGAAATTCCTACTTTGTTTGTTTATTGTTCTCCTGACCTCAGTGATCATCTTTATGACTATTATTTTGAATTATTTTCAGTTAAGTTATATATCTTCTGTTTCTTCATTTTTCTTTGCTCTCTGTGCTGCTGTCTGCACATTAGACAAAACAGCCACCTCTCCTAGTCTTCACTGGTTAATCTTGTGCAGCAGAACAAATTCACCCATTAGCCCAGTCAAAAATTCTGTAGGTCTCTCAAACTTGCATGCTAGTCTAGCTTGCTTTTTTGTTCTAGCAGCCCCCAGGTGTCTAGAGTACACTGAATCTTGTCAATGCTCCAAGACAACTAAGACTGAAGTCAGTTCCTCAAGCAACTCCCCAAAACAGTTTTGAAAGTTGGAATGCTAGATGTGCATTCCAACTCTTTTTCTTCTCAGAAAGAAGCTGGGATCTAGGGGGCTTCTCACCAATTCTATTGCACTTTTCTGGGGTTGGTAGTCACAGCAACAGTGTGTCTCCACTTTCACTTTTGGCTATGATGTGGCTGGATTCACGTTAACTCAGGGTACAGGAATCTTTTAACAAGTCTCCGGACTTTTTACAAAAGGAATTGATTGATGTCTTGCTGTGAATCAGTGTATCCATTGGAGGAAGGAGAATCCAGAGCTTACTATTATGCCTCGTTGCTGATGTTACTCTTTCTTATGCGAATTTTGACAGACTGTGTACTTCAAGAATTGATCCATTTCATCCAAGTTATAAAATTTGTGGGCATAGAGTTGTTCAGAATCTTGCTTTCTTATGCTTTTATTGTCCAGGGTATCAAAGCAATGGCCCTCTTTCAATTCTGACTTTAGTAATTTGTGTCTTCTCTCTTTTGGGAGGTAGCTATGGATTTGTCTATTATATTTAACTTTTCAAAAGCACAGCTTTGATTTCATTGATTATTTCTATCAATTTCCTGTTTACAATTTCATTGATTTCTGCTCTGATTTTTATTTGTAGTTTCTGTGGCTTAATTTTTATTTAGTTCCCCACTATAACTGATCTCAATGTTTCCCTATGGGATAAAGCTACTCCTGACCACAATTTCCTCACTTTCAAATTCAAACCTCAAGTAGCTCTAGATGACATGCAGCCAAGAGATCTTTTCTGCTCTGGTATCCTTTGTCCTTCTCTGTGCTTATCATTATGAGGACCAGCATGACCTCTTCAGATAATTTTCTTTCGTTTCTTACTGAGTTTGCACAAAAAAAGTAAAATTTGAAAACTGGCTTATCAAATTATATTTTTTATTTAGAAATGCCAAGAAGAAATGGCTCTGCATTGGCATACACTAATCATCTTGCTCTATTTAGTATTGACTATATGGTACTACTCAGTGTTAGATAAGTATTAGGACATATGATGGCCAGTACAAATGTTATGGTGTATGGAGAATGCTAAATACATTTGTGTAATGAAACTCAGAAAATTCTCCTTTAACAAAGGTTGGATGTTCCTGGATGAAGAGAAAAGAGGTCATAGAAGGCATCCCCAGTAAGAGAGTGAAGAGGAAAGGAGGTGAACAATTCCCTAGATGAGAGGTAGTTGCAGACAACATTGTAGGAAAGGCCATATGGTGTGACCTTCCTCACATGGGAGTGAAGAAGAGCTGGTAAGAAAGTGACACAGAAGCAAACCCATTAGCAACTGGGTGGTATCAATGTCCTTTGGGTCAACCACAGATTTTAAGGTAAATTTTTGTAAAATGGTGGCCAGGAAGAAAAACAGCTCCATGTGGGCCAGGTCCTCTCCTACACACATCCATTTTACTGAAAATAACAAATTCAGAGAGTAGATATTCCTTGAACACTGTGTTTCTGGCTTTCAGAAAGAGAATATGCATTAACTATTTGATGAATTGTTGAATGGATTAATGGAAGGCACAATGGTTGGATAGACAGTTGGACAAAGGATGAACATACATGCTATCCACCTAACATTTATTTTAACAGGTATCCTTCTTTCAACAAATATTTATTGAGTATCAGCACTATGCCAAGTATTTCATTAAGTATTCTCACAATATAACTGCTCCTTTGATATTTCAACTTTCCACCAATCTCCTTCTAAGAAACACATATACATTGGTTGTGCTTTCTATTCATAGTCTGATGTCCCATGATTTTTCTTTCTGTTCTTCACAGCCTCTATTCTCTTCTCTAAATATACCTACTTTCCATCATTCTCCAAACACCATGAAGTTTCCAATTTTATATCAAACTTCTCCCTTTGGCTAAGATACACATATTTTCAGTACTTAACTCAAATTTCATTTCTGAATTTGAAAGAACTAGGTCAACTCTCCAAAACTCCAGTGTTCTGGCCCATTAATGAGGATGTATCATGAGGAAGGAAAGTGTGTGGACACTGGAACTGCTGCTCGTGATGATGAACAAAAAGAAATTCTACAGACCAAGAGTGAGTACTATGTATATTCCAACTGATCTTAAGATGGTATCTTGTGCTCTGAAGTACCAAAGGATTGAATTTGTATTACCTGCTGAGAAAGCCATGAAATAGTCACTCTTCTTAAAGTTGCCACTCTTGTCCAGGAAGTGGCCAGGGTCAAACACCTCTGGGTTAGGGAATTCTTTATCATCATGCAACACAGAAGTCAGTGATATTAATATGTTTGTGCCCTGGAAATAACAGATAAAGATAAACTGAGTTATGAAGAAGTCATGGTGCTGGAAGAAATGTTGCAAATTTTTTAGTCTAATATTATGATCTATAGATGAAGAATCCCAGGTTCAAAGAAGGACAGTGGCATTTTGAGCCAGACAAAACAAGTAATAAGCAAGGATAAGTATAAGACCAATGGCAGTGATGCTGCTAAAGTGGACTCTAATTGCTTTTGAAATACTGAATACATGGGTCCTATGGTGCCAGACCTTCTGAATGCATTCTGTTTATCACCACGTTTGGACACTTGTGTATGTCCCCACCAGCTGCTTTATTTTATCATTTCACTGTTCACTCATCTCGCATGTGGATTATGGATTAAAATGGAAGTCTCTGTTGGAGCTTGAAATGTCTGGAGTTATCTGTTCATAGGGCTTTTGTAAACAGACATGTGATCTGCCTAAAAATAACTTCTGTGATAATAACAAGAAACGTAGTAACAACTATTAGTGTTTATCATTGCCATGAAGGTCATTTGTCTTAATTCAAAAATATGAAGTAGATTTCATTACATATTAATCCTGTCTTAGAAACACAGAAAAGATGATAAAATTAGAAAAATCACTTTGCAACAATTCAGTTTAGGATCACTAATTCAGGCAAGTTTTATCAATTAATGATAAAACTGTTGGGGGAATGATTGGGAAGCATGATGTTCACAAAGTCCTAAAGTACCATGCCATAGATTTTTATTAATTAAATGCCAAAAACAGAACTTCTGTAATGGAGAATTCTGGCAGATACCAATTTAGTACATGAGAAACACAATGTAACCAATAACAAGATAAGGGACATTATGTTCCCTCACCTCCCCAACGGCTTTCAGAAGGACATAAAAGCACTTATGTAGTTCTCTTGCCAAAATCGTAACTGGAATCTAATCTCTAGAAAACAATCGCACAATACCAGTCTGAGGAATATTTTACATGACCTCTTGGCTGGACTCTTAACAAAGTTATATGTACTCAAAGAAAACAAACAGAGCAAAGGTAATTCCTAACAGGAGACTAAAAAGAAAAGATAACCAAATTATGTTCTTGTTTCTTGACTGGATACTGAATTGCAGAGATAAAAAAGCTATAGAGGATATTCTAGAAAACGAGAAAATTTACATTTCGCTGTACATTAAATGACATTATTGTATGAATGATAACTCTTAAGTGTGAATGCTATTATTGTTCTCTATTCAAAAACGCTGTTAATAGGATATACTTACTGAAGTACCGAGGTGTTGACAAATAAATAGGTGACAGATAATTGGATGTAAAAGTAAATATATACACAAATTCATATATCACATATATATGCACATGTTTTTAATGATTTGGGTTTTAAAAACTTTTAATGAAAAGTTGGGGGAAAATTCTATCCCCTAAGTTTATGATATAAGAGGTCTATAATTCTATTTTTAAAATTATTCCCTTGCATTCTTTTAAACAAGTAATATGCAAAAATTTTTTCCCTAAGATACAAAAGCAAAAATGAAAGTTACAAAAGCAAAAATATTTTCGTCAAATGTTGCTCAAAAAATTGGATAAAGTAAAAGGAGCCATAACCATTACTTCACACTGTTGTAAAAATTTACCTGAATGGATCAATGACCTAAATATAAGCACTAAAACTATAAAGTTTTAGAAATAAATAAGGGTAAATCTTTGAGATTCTGTGCTTGGAAATATTCTTTAGATAGGACCAAAATAAAAGCACAAATCAACCTCACATCATTTCCAAGTTTTCTATTAGACAGATTGCCTTATAACAGACATTGACAACAACCCATGTGGAAATCCAGCCTACCACCTGTTTTTCTAGAGCCCATGAGTTAAGCATTGTAAATTGAAAAAATCAAGGAACAATAAAACTTTGCTACATGAAAATTACATGAAATCTAAATTTCAGCTTCCACAAAAATTAGGATATAGCCATTCTCATTTGTTTATATTTGCTCTATGACTGCTTCCATGCTACAATGGCAGAGCTGAATGCTTCATCAGACACTTCAAGACCCAGACAGTCTAAAATATTTACACTCTGGCCCATTACAGAAAAAGTTCACCAACACCTGTTTTAGACTATTATCTCCACATAGCTCAGTGCCTCCAGCCTCTTTTAGAAGAAATCACTTATTTGGTTGGTAAGAAGGTAGAATCTGCCACCCAGTGTTGCATATTTCTGTGCTGGCATGTCCCATGCAGAAGGGAACGGTCATTCCCAAATCCGATGTAGTGGATGGGAGAGATAGGCAATCCCATTCTGATTCCTAGTCCATTGTTTCCCATTTACTTAGAAATAGCAGGGGAAACCAGTTTGATAATTTATTACCCTCATACGCTAATATTAAAAAAGAAAAGTCTTCTCCTCACTGCATTCTTTGTTGAAAAAAGAGTGGACTTGAAGTCCTAACCCTTGTACTGAATCTATGATCATCGAGACATGCCCCATCACCTCTTGGTAAAATCATCAATTCTGTCTTCTGCAAAGATTGGCATTAGTACCTGCAGCCTTGCCAATCTCACTGCTTTCTTTCCCAAACAGAAAACAAATTTGTTATACTATTTTTTCAATGTAATACTAATATGTCCTGGCTTCAAGTAAACACGAATAGCTTGTAGCATATCAACTGAATAGTCTGAATATATACAGAAATGATGTGTTAGAAAGCACTGGAAATCTGCTAAGATGAAAATTTGTCTCCAGATTCCATAGTTGGGAGAACCTCAGAGAGGTAAGCGAACACCTAAAATTAACTTTAGTCTGTGTCAATGTCCAAATTTTAATCAAAACAAGAGACTTACATCATTCTGACTGCCTGGTAAGAGAGGGATAAACTCTTTCTGGAAGAAGACAAATATCATCTGAAACTCTGCATTTTTTCTGTACATAATAATTGGTATTTAACCAAAAGATATTAGGCCTTTCAAAGACAAAAAAAGAAGGGAAGACAATAAAAGCAAACCCACATGAGGGAACATTTCTCACGTATTTTGTAAGGGTATCATTACCTTGATATCAGAAATCTGACAAGAAAATTTTGAGGAAGAAAAATTGTAGACAAAAAATTTCTCATAAATATAAATGCAGAAGCCCTCAACAAAATGTAGCAAATCAAATCCAGCTCTGTGTATATACTTATAATATGTATATTTAGTGCAAAAAGTGAGACTAATGCATGCAATCATACTAATAGATGCAGAGAATTGATATGAAAAAATTGTATACACATTCATGACCAAAAAAATCATAAAAGACAAGAGGGTAAATTTCCTAATCTGATAAAGAATATCTACCAAAATATACATAAAACATCATTCTCAATAGTAAGATGTTAAATCTCCACTCTCATGCAGATCAGAAATGTAACAAGGATGAAACAAGGATATTAATCTAGATAGCAGGATAATGAATGCAGAAACTGCAAATTAATCTAGAGACTAATTATTGGCAATGATCTGAAACTTAGCAAGTTTGCTACATAAAAGGTCCTCAAAATGGTAAAATAGATTATGTTTCCATATACCAGATAAGAGAAATGGAAAATGCATTTTAAAAATTTATAACAACAATAATAAGTACCTAGGAAAAAACAAACAAAAGACCTGCAAGCCAATGTACTGAAAAGCAATTATCGAGAAAATTAAAATTGGGTTCATATACCATACCTATTAAATGAAACATTCAATGTGTCATGATTTTAAGTTTTCCAAATTGATCTCTCACCTTGATAAAAATTCCAGCAGAGTGTTTTGGTAAATTGACAAACTGATAGTAAACATTCATTGGGAAATGTAAACAGCTAAGGCAAATAATACTGAAGAAGCAGAACGAACGTGGAAGACTTACACTGATAGCTCTCAAAACCTGTTATAAAGCTTTATAATCTAACAAGAAGCAACAGGAAGTCCATCAAGTTGCCATGCATATGATTTTGGTGCTTCTCTCACTTTGTATTCATTCAAGATTGGATGCATACTTTGAAAATAAGAACTTCACGCAAACTAAGGTCAGTATAAGAGAAACAAATCTTACCTTGGGGATGAGGTAGTTTCTGAATTTAACGTCACGGGTCACTGCATGGGGCAGGTTGGTGGGGATGAGGTCAATGTATCTCTGGACCTCATGTATCACGGCATCCATATAGGGCATGTGGCTCCTGTCCTGCATGCAGGGGCTTCGGTGTCTGCCAATCACACGATCAATCTCTTCCTGGACTTTAGCTGATAAGACACAAGTAAGGCTCATGGAAAAAAGAGAAAAATGCATGCCACATTTGTATGTCAATTCAGGAATATATGAAGGAATAGGATGGTATCCCAACATCATTATAAACATCATTATAAACATCTGTTATATGCCCAGAAATACACCTACACATAGAGAGATAATTACTATAATATAGATACATAAAACTCTCCTACAAGCTAAGCTTAAGATCATCTATACATACATATATATCTGCATACATAATACAAACAATTGATGGAATGTTTCAAAATATAAATAGAACATAATTAAGTCAAGAAATTAAAGTCCTTGCAGAAAGAAAAATAGGAATTTTCCTGGAATGGGAGGTGAGAATTTACTCCTCCATCCCCACCTCATACAAAATATGCACAGACATACACAATTCCCCTTACTCCATTTCCCCTAATACATTTAGACCACAATTTTTGGCTGTTAGAATATTCATCTTAATATCATTCTAACTACATAAACAATGCTAAAAAAAATAATTTAAAGCAACTAAGATTATGTTTCATTTTGGGTACTTTCTTGGACTTACCCATCTCTCTTTAGTTCAATATGTTATTTTCTATATCTTGATTTAGAATTTCCAAATACCGAGGTAGGTGTTTCAAACTCCTAACAATAATGTCTCTATTATTAGGTTGTCTCAGGTAATTCATCACTTCTCTTTTGTTCTTGGAATCTCCCCTCATATCTGCTTTATCCACCTAATCCATTTTGAAATGGATATTTTCTAGGCCTGGTGTCTGTCAACCTCCTTGACACTTTCATTCTCCTGCATGAGTTCCCCTGATTCCTTGAGCCTATGACTTTCTCTGACATGACTTTAGACATTTGGATAAGAAAGGGGAAAGAGGGAGTAAAAATTTTGTCAAACATGCAGGTCTGAAAACACCCTCTTTTTTTTGTGAGGAAGATCTGTAGCCAGTCTTCCTCTTTTTGCTTGGGGAAGATTGTTGCTGAGCTAACATCTGTGCCAGTCTTACTCTATTTTATGTGGGATGTTGCCACAGCACGGCTTGAGGAGCAGTGCTAGGTCTGCACCTGGGATCTGAATCTGCAAACCCCAGGCCACCAAACAGAGCACACAAACTTAACCACTATGTCATTGGGCTGGCCCCCTGAATATACCCTCTTTTTATTAATACACAATTTGATAGTTGCTCTTGAAAATTCTGATACTGTTCTGAATCCTACCCTTATATATGACTTGATATATCTCTCCGAAAGTTTTTATGATTTTCTCTTTAATCCTAGTGTTCTGAAATTTCATGACGCTATGTCTTGGGTGGATGTTTTTATTTCATTTACTCGGCTATACATCTCAAGAGAATTTTCTACCTGCACTGCAAAATACGAAGATTTTTTCTCCAAAGCTGTTCACTTGCTGGAGTTTTTTATCTGGCTACTGAATTTCAGGAAGCAGGATGGAGAAAGGAGCTAAGACTCTCTGAATTCAAGAAGTAAATTCTTACCTAACCTTTCTCTTCAACCCTACAGCTCAGTATTTCCCTGTCACTGCTCAGTGTCCCTGAGTGGAGGGCCTCTTAGCTTCATTTTCTCTAGAGCAAACCTCCCTCATCCTGTTGGGGAAAACAATTACCCGATAAAAGGACTTGTTGAAGGGTCCTAGGGAGAGAGAGCTACCTTTTTCAGCCTATTTCTCCCCCTATCTTCTTTGACACTTGGTACTTCCAAATACTGAAACTTACAGGGGTGTAGGGGCACAAATGACTTTTCCTCATTATATAGCTTCCTCTTCTAACATTTAGGTTACAATTTTACCCTCTCTACTGAGTTCATTTTCACTCTCACAATGCTGTCAGTGTTTCATAAGTTTGTTTAAGATTTACTGGCTGTCTCCTGACTTCCTCTTGTCCAACTGTAAAAGACTAATTCTCATTTGCAACAGTTTAGGGTCATTTCAGTGGGACTCTGACACAGGACAAGAAAACATATGTCTCTAAGCTCCTATGCATAACCATAACTCTTTAAGGATAAATTTCTAACATAAAGTCCTTTATGAAAGGTAAAATTAGTGACGTCCCAAAATTCTTATTTTGGCAAACACCACTTTTCTGGCAGCATATTTCTGGAATAACAAAATTCCTTTACACTCATCTTAAGACTGAATAGCACCACGTTTCTTGTGAATTTAAATTTTCAGGGCATTTCCTAGACTGTGGAAATTATCTCAGCCGGGCTCACTAAATCTCTAGGATTTCCACTTATGCTTCAATAAGGTGAGTCTCTATTTTTCCTACTCTGGTTCTAGAACACTGTATTTTCAGAATGAGGAGACATTTCATTCTGAAAATATACCTGCAAGAATACACCTGCTGCTCAAAGTGGTCTTTTCATAACAATATGCAGTCCCAGGCCAATATATGCTGGCTGTGCCTTCCACAAATAACCCCCCATGAAATCCAGACATTGCTTTATTGCTTTTGCTACTGTCCACAATGTCTTCACTCTTCTCAGTCATCCTCCTGTATTACGTGAAGATATCCCATTATTACGCCTTCTTTAAATTTAGAAAAAGTAAGCTGGTTGAACAGATATTTAAATAATGAAGCTTCTCTAAGAAAAACAAGATGGAATGCACTTGTCTTTCCAACATGTTTTCTGAAGTTTACCCTGTCCACCATGCTGGTCATACCTGTGACCTCTGGGTGCTTCAGCAGGAGGAGAAGTCCATATCTCAGGGTGGTGCTCGTTGTCTCTGTCCCAGCTCCAAACAAGTCAGACACAGTGATTGTCAAGTTTTCAAAAGTAAACTCTGACTGTTTATTTTCTTTTTCCTAGGGATGATTTGATAAAATAATTAGACCAATTAATTTGCCAGACTTACAGTTAACCTAAAATAACTCACATTGCTATAAAGTTAAGCCAACATGTAAACTGCAGGGTGCAACATTAGAAAATACTATTGCATGGTATGGCAAGAGACTGTAGATCAGCTGACTCAAACATCATTTTCTACTGCCTAATCCTTCACTTGAATAAAAGTTCTACTCATCAGCCTCTTTTGCAGTTAGGTGAGCCATGCAGCATAGTTCTTGCCAGTGAGATATAAAGAGAAGCCTCTTGGTGCCACTTTGTCAATTTCCTCCTTCTCACACAAAGCAAAAGCCTTAAGGTGGAGGTAGAGATGATATCTACTTGGGACAAGAGGATTTAATCATGAAGTGAGATCTATATACTAGTCATAGGTGAAGAAAAATGGAAGGTCTCATGTTTCAGGGTTACAGGTGTTTCAAGGCTACTGCACTATCCCTACACTGACACATCACAAGACTCCTTGTAGTGAGGTAAACAAAACCACTAGTTGTTAAAGCCATTGTTAATAGGTTTTCTATTATTTGTAGACAAACACAATCTTAATTAGTGAAAATAGGTAAATCAGGCACATATCATGAAGAATGCTGTAAGCCTGAATCGAGATTTTGTAATTCTCTTCTTTGCTAAAAACTTGTATGAACTCAATATTGTCCGAGGATTCACTATGAAGTTGAAATTCTGCAAAAATTATTGTGGCAGTTCAACTTGAAATGAATTATAGTCAAAGAGAATGGATTCACAAAGACAATATGGGGCCACCACTATAACATTCCATATGCAATGCAATAGGAATTTAGTCTAGGAAATAACTGGAGGAATGAAAAGGAATACACAAATTGAGGAGGCACTACAAACCTGAAGACAGAGAGTTGGGGCCTTCGCTGCCCACAAGGGAAAAAGGAGAGAGAGAGAAGGGGTAATGCAAATGCCAGACTAATTGAATAGCGTTCTTATAAATTGCAAGCTGAGAGAGAGATAGCAAGGGACAATAACAAGTAATGCTTGTTTAGAACTGAGGAAATGATATGACACGTCAGTAAGTGGGCAGTTTGAAATACTGAATAGAAGAGATAATTAACATACAAAAAAGAATGTTTTCTGCAAACATGTCCCTAGCCAGCATTAATTTTATGATGCACTTACAATCTCCAGGGGTCCAGTGGCATGTCTATTATTATGTAATAAACACAATTAAGACAGACTAAACCCTCTGAATCTGTGTACATGTTAGCTAAAGAGTCATCTCCCTTGGTAACATTGGCTTCACACAATGTTTTAAGCCTGTCAATTCAAAATTACTCTAAAGTCAGTAAGAAGAGCAGTGCACTCATAAAACAATATTAGTATTTCCATTTCTTGAAGTGGATTTGGAGATACAGTGATTATGTGCACATAGCCTATCATTTTCAAGCTATACAAAACAGTGGTGAAAGAAATTAAAGAAAACCTAAATAGAAAAACTTTCCTTGTCATAGATAAAAACACTTAATATTGTTATAATGGCATTACTGGAGTAACATCACAAAGATGGCAGACAGGACATTCCGGGGAATCAGTCCCTCCACTGAAACAACTATTTGCCATGCATAAACTGTCTTAGCAACTATGTTGATACTCTGGAGACTAGTTAACCACTTGCAGCATCCAGTGGACTATCTAAATAAAAGAGTCTGGTAAATTTGACATCTCACATAGTGGCTAACATTCCTCATAACCCAGTTCCAGGTCAGAAAGTTCATGCTCCTAGTGCAGCCTACAGGTTCCAGAGTGGGCAATAGGACCATGTTCTTCAATAATCAGGGTTGCATGTTTTGATCACTGAGAGGCTGGCACAGAGAATAGCCATTGTTTCAATCTCCTCAGTTTCAAGTAACTTCCCCAACAGCTTTAACTGAGGAGATAAACAGAATGACATCATTTTTCTTTTCTTTTCTTTTCAGGTTCAAGTGTTTAAGAGAATCTCTATAAGGTCACTACCTGACTATGGAGATAACTGAATAGAGGGTCAAGTGATCACACAAGAGGAGAAAAATAGTCTCGGCAAAAATAATTTGGAAAAGTTACTAAACAAATGGAAGAGCGAAGTCTTCATCAAGTGACAACAGCAATTAATGGGAGAGGGAAAAATCTTATTTCCAGTGTTACCACGTTACAATATATTAAATGCTCTGTTCTCAATAACAACAAAAAGATTACAAAGCATACAAAGAAATGGGTAAGTATACCCCTTTGACAGCTAAAAAAAAAGTTGACACAAATGATTCCTGACAAAGCCTAGACACCAGACTTACTAGGTAAAAACGTTAAGGTAAATGTCTTAAATAAGCTCAAAGAGCTGAAGGAAACCATGAACAAAGAACTAAAGAAAATCAGAAAAGTGTATGAATGGTATGAACAACTAGGGAATTTCAATAATAAGAGAAATATTACAAAATGGAATCAAATAGAATTTCTGGGGCTCAAAAGTACAATACCTGAATTTTTAAAAAATCACCATAAGGTTTCGACTACAGACTTCAGTTGGTCTGAGAAAGAAACAGAAAATCTGAAGACAGGACAACAGAAGTTATCCAGTCTGAATGTCAGAAAGAGAAAGGAATGAAGAAAAATGAACAGAGCCTAAGGGACCTAGGGAACTCAATCAAGTGTATCAACATATATTGTAAAGTCAAGTCCCAGAGAATAGAGAGAAAAGGAACAGAAAATAATATTTGAAGAAAGAATGGCTGAAAACTTCAGAAATTTGATGAAAGACATGAATCTACATATGAAAGAAGCTGAGCAAAATCCAAGAAGGATAAACATAAAAAGACCCACACCAAAGCATTTTTTAACCAAACTTTAAAAGCCAAAGACAAAGAGAGAATGTTTAAAGCATCAAGAGAGAAGTAACTGATTATGTACAAAGGATCTTCAATAAGAGTAACAGGTGATTTTTCTTCAGAAACGATGGATGTCAGAAATTGGTGGAAAGATATATTTAAGTTCCTGGAAGGAAAAATGCCAAACAACAATTCTATCTCTGGCACAACTATCTCTCTATAATGAAGGAGAAATTAAGACATTCCCAAAGTAAACAAGCTAAAGGGTTCCTCATTAATAGATCTGCCATATAAGAAATGCTAAAGAAAGTCAGCTTTCAGGTTGAAACCAAAAGGCTCTAGATGATAATTCAAAGCCATATTAACAAAAATTCTTGTTAAGGATAACTATGTAGGTAAATATAAAAGGTAATATTATTGTATTCTATTATGAAACCCTCTCTTTATTTTCTATATTACCTAAAAGAAAAATGCATGAAACAATTACTATAAATATATGTTACTAGTCATGCAAAATATAAGGAAGTAATTTGTGGCATAACAAAAAAGGAGGATGAATTTGGATGGGAACAGAGTTAATGTACGCAATTTGAAGCTGCTTTGGAATTAATTCAATCCAGATTGTTATAAATTTAGGGTGTTAATATAAATCCTCTTGTAAATAGTAAGAAATTAAATTTAAAAATACAGAGAAAAAGAATTGAAGAGGGAATAAAAAGAGTACACTAGAAAAAATTGATTAAACAAAAAATAAAATTATTTTGGAGGAATTGAGAAACAAAAACAATAAAGGGCATTAGTTCAAAAAATAACAGCAGAAGTAAATCCTTCAGTATGACTAATCATTGTAACTGTCAGTTGATTGAAACTCACCATTTAAAAGATAGATATTGAAAGAATAAATTTTTTTAAATTGTATATGTATGTATGTATATATATATATATACACACATATATAATGGAATATATATATATATATATATAATGGAATAGATATATATAATAGACTATTACTTAGCCATAAAAAAGAACGAAATTCTGCCATTTGCAACAACCAGAATGGATCTTCAGAGAATTATGTGAAGTGAAATAAATCAGATAGAGAAAGACAAATACTACAAGATCTCACTTATATGTGAACATAAAAAAAAACCCAGAAAACAAAACACTGAACTCATAAATACAGAGAACACATTGGTGGTTGCTAGAGGTGAGGAGTAGGAGGTAGCAAAATGGGTGAAAGTGGTCAAAGGTACACACAGTTATAAAATAAATCCTGGAGATGTAATGTACAGCATGGTGTCTACAGTTAATAACACTGTATTGTATATTTGAAAGTTCTAAGGGAGTAAATCTTAAAAGTTCTCACCACACGAAAAAAAATTGTAACTATGTGCACTTATGGGTGTTAACTAGACATACTGTGGTGATCATCTCACAATATTGAAGCATTAGCTGTACACCTGAAACTAAGATAATGTTATATATCAGTTACATCTCAATTTTTAAAACTGCATGTTGTCTATAAGAGACTCACTGTAGAACCAAAGACACAATATATTGAACAAGAAAGAGGGAAATAGATTTTGCAAGCAATGAGCAGCCAAAGAGAACTGTAACGGCTATATTACTATCAGAAAAAATAGATTTTTATCAAAAGTCGCTTTTAAAAAACAACCAACAAGAATATTTTCGGGGCCAGCCCCATGGGTGAGTGGTTAAGTTCGCACGTGCCACTTCGGCGGCCCAGGGTTTTGCCAGTTCAGATCCTGGGCACTGACATGGCACTGCTCATCAGGACATGTTGAGGTGGCATCCTATATGCCACAACTAGAAGGACACACAACTAAAAATATACAACTATGTACTGGGGGGATTTGGGGAGAAAACGCAATAAAAAAAAAGAAGATCGGCAACAGTTGTTAGCTCAGGTGCCAATCTTTTAAAAAAAAAAAGAATATTTTATATTGGGGGGCCAGCCCCATGGCCAAGTGGTTAAGTTTGTGTGCTCCACTTCTGGGACCCAGGGTTTCACCAGCTGGGATCCTGGGTGCAGACCTAGCACCACTATCCAAGACATGCTGAGGTGGAATCCCACATAGCAGAGCCGGAAGGACCTACAACTAGAATATACAACT